GTTCAATCCCTCTTATGCTTCAAATCTCTGATTTCCTCTTCTATTGAATCTCTCTGGCTTTTCTCTTTTGAGGCCTCAAAGAATTACTCTGGATCCACCACATAATCTGAGATAACATCTCTTTTTAAGGTCAGCTCATTAGTAACCCTAAACCCTCCGATTCTTTTCATTAGTATCATAACACAGCCAAGAGAATAACCCCCAAATTGGAGATGTGGCCATTGTATTATATCAGTGGAAATTTTGCAATTAAAAAATATTTTAGAAATTATTAATCTATCTACAACTCTATTACCTCTGGTTCCCCTTTCTTATGGTTTCTTATAATGAAAAAACACAGGAGCAATATCCTCAAAATTTTCAGGTATCCCACGTTTTCTTGTTACATTAACGTGCACAAATAAAGATTATTAAAGCTCATATAGGTAAAATAAAGTGTTAGATTCTAGAAATATCACAACACATAAAAGAATCTTCATCAGATCAGTATAGGGGCATACAATTTATTTGACCCAGAACAGATCATGAATAAATATGCAGACTTTGGGACGGGACAGCTCTTACCAACACTTGCAACGCTGGATACCAGTAAACAGCCCCTACAGCCTGAGCCATCAAGGTCACATCCGGCTTCTGATTTCCCCGAGGAACGGCGAGAATGCAGTTCAGTGTCCCTATCCAAGACTGCACCTTCCCTCCTATACTGTATGGTCTATGTCATGATGTGAAGGGCGCATTTTATAGAAGCAAGAGTTTTGCCTCCTGGACTGAAATTAGAAACTGCCCACGAAGCTTGTGATTTGAGCATAAATCGGAATTACTGAATAGAGTTCAGTGGCCTCCAATCTGCCCTGTGCCACCACCATCCCTCCTGGCTCCCTGGCTCCTCTACCCCACCATGTGCTCCTCCCACAGCAACATCACCCATACCCACACCCTAGAGCTGGAGCCACCTGCTAAACCTCCACACACCCCTCACCTGCCGTCAACCCTGTCACCCTTCTGCTTTGCACTCCAACCTCCTTCCTGTCATCTTTTTAACAGCTGTCCCTACCTAAGTACTATTCCAGGGACTACGGTGCAAACCTCTTCACCTTCCATCGACCTGCAAACCATACCATCCGAACTCTACTTTGTCTTGCAGAACATCCCAGTCCAAATTCGAGTATCTCAGCCCATTCTCTGGATCCTCTAAGCCCCACACCATCCAGTGCCCCAGCCTGAACTCCTACACAAACCCGATCCTCACGCACAGGCATTACCCCATCCCTATCACCCTTGACCCTTTCTCCTGGCTCCCCGGCTCCCTCACTGCCCTGCGCCTCTTTTGCCTCTCTCCTTGTGTTCACAGTCTCCTCCAGGGTCCTTCTCCTCTTCCAACATTCTCGATCTGCTTGGCCCATGCTGTCTTCCGCCAAAATCCACCTGCCCCACAATATTCCCCTTCCTCCTCTCCAATCATGACTTTAATCCAAGACCTTGTCTCCTGTGAATTGCACCAACCATAGACTATTAAGATCTTCCCTGTGAAGAGCCCATCCCCATTATTCTTTCCATTCCCAGGAAACCCTGCACCTCTCTTCTCCCAGATCCCAATATGCCTCACTCCCTTCACTTCCTGGCACACTCTGTGTCCTTGTACCCTCACTTGAGAATGCCTCCCTGCAACAGTGCGCACACTTTTGTCTTTTATCCCTCAGCCTTCTTTCCTCTCTTGCACTCTCTTCTCCCCTTACCCTAGGACCTCTGCACCTTGTCCTTCTATTTCTTTCGCTGCACCCTCTCTCTCACCTGCTCTGTCACACACCCAGGCACTGCCACTCCCCTACATACCACAACATTCCTACCACACGTCCTGACCTAGGGTGGTAATGCTCAAAGAAATTTTTAAGAATCTATGTTGCAAATACTCTCCTTGTGGGTAGTTGCAGGCTTGGAAGGATTACAAATGATAAAAAAGAGCCCCCCGTTATGGCATCCAGAGGTCTGGAGATACAACTCTTCATATGAACATGTCATTAAGACACACAGACACACACACACACACACACACACACACACACACACGATGAATGTGTATGTCGATATTATGAAAGTGAATGTGAACTGTGAGTTTGAGTAAAGGTGCGGTGAACATTAAGGTCGATGAGGGTGAGTCTGTACATGTTCAGTGTGTGCCTGAATGTGTGAGTTTCAACTGTAATTGTGTGTGTGAGTACATGAGCAACCATGTATGTGTCTACTAGTATGTGAGTATATGTGAATGTGGGTGTGCATATACACGTGTTTCCATCTGCTTGTGTGTAAATGAGTTCATGTTTGTATGCAGTCTGAGTTGCCCACCATGATGGCTCTGACTTGAAAATGACTGCTCATTGCATAGTGAACCTGCATCACATGTGGACTTGTTTGTAGGGAAAACCAAAGGATCAGTTTTAACTCCTAATTTGTATTTCTTCTTACCAAAGCAGTAAGAGCTCATTAATGAAAATTCAAACACAACAACAACAAAACAGTAAAGAACTGTTGTAACCATGTGATCCTCTTGAATTAAGTACCTGAGGGTTGGCTCATCCAATATTTACAGGACTGGTAGAATCTTCTGGTTGAGCCATCTGATCCTGCTGCTTTAAATCTGTGACACACTCTTTTAGAAATGTCCTTCTTTCTTCTGTGGATATTGTTCTGTCTGTATTTCTTATGAATAGAGGTCAATTATGGTAAAGCATATGTTCCTAAACAATTTTCCTATTAATTGGCACTGAATTATTCAAACAAGGCCAAATTCATTAACTTTGATTTGTAAAATAATTTCTGTACCATGTTATTTACATCATGTTCCTCCTTTTACTTGTACCTCTGAATATTCTTAGCAGGTATTTTGTCTCATTCTGTTTCTCTACTAATAAACTTAATTGATGGTTCGGTTCGGTGGTCAGAAGATTAGCAAAATACTAGTTTCTGGGTAGAGAAACTTCTCTGGGAAGTGCAGAATCCAGTGAGACACACGGACTTAGCCACCTGTCCCTCACGTGTCAGAACTCAGTATTTCTTCATAGAATACCCTATCAAGGGATCAAAGGGGAAAAAAGAGCCTCACAGAAATACTCAAATAGTCTCCCATTGGGGTTCTAACTAGAAACTCATAATTGTTTTTCATAATTAACAACGGAGGGGAAAATTTTCAGAAACATCTTCAGCTCCCAAACCCACACTCCCAGTGCGGCTACAAATGAAATAATTGCAGTTGTGAGGGCGGGGACCTCACAGAATCACAAACCTATATCTCAGGGTCTGGCTGCCCCCCTCCCACAAACATACTGGCTGCCGTGCCCTTCACACTGAGCCCCTCCTGGCAGCAGGAAGGAGTTGGTGAGGATTTCTACTTCAGACTTCTCGGCGGTGTCTGTTTAAGAAAAGGGAGATCAAGAATCTGGGTGAGTGATCATATCAGAAAAGGGCAATCTTCTGTGTACCACCTGACTCATTTTGAAAGCCATGCAGGAAGGTGTAATAATTCTGAGGTTTGCACTCAGCTAGGAAAGAGAGATGGGATCCTAGATTTTCACCAATCCCTGATGGCTCCTAATGCAGTAAAGGTCATCTTTGCTCATAGTGACTGTCGGTGTTTCTTGCAGGTAATAATACACACTGATTTTTAAGCCCTTAAGGACTGAGTGGTAAAATCCATCTGCTGTACAGTCCACGTCATAGGAATTGTAGACTAAATGTTCAGGGTTACTAGAGGTCCACCTGTAACACCTCCATGCTTGTAGCGAAGACTATGAAGAGTATGCATGTGGTGAAGAGTATGTACAGGAAGCATCTGATCCTGTGCAGAAAGTTTATCATCCAAATGGTAATGACTTGAATGGAAAGGTGTCTCCAATTCTGGAGGTATCACGAAATTATGGGGACATTAATTGAGTGTGCACTAGAAACCTCCACAATCTGTCAATGATAGTGAAACTTATTCATTTTGAAAGTTAGGAAATGAGCACGTAAGGAACAGTTGACAAAATGATGATGCATTCCAGATGGCAGCTGTCAGGTGCATATCATGTTCTTTCCACCCATTTAAAAATTATTCTACTACTGGGATGCCTGGGTGGCTCAGTCAGTTAAGCGTCTGTCTTTGGCTCAGGTCATGATCCCAACCAAGGCCCTGGGATCAAGTCCCACGTCGGGCTCCCTGCTCGGTGGGAAGCCTGCTTCTCCCTCTGCCTCTGCCGCTCCCCCTGCTTGTGCTCTCTCTCTGTCAAACAAGCAAATAAAATCTTTAAAAAAATTATTCTACTATCAATACAAAAACCCAGTACTTGTATTTAAAGAGTGTGTAAGAATACATGCCTTACAGATGCCAATTTGCAGTGATGTATTTTATGTTAATATCATTCACAAATCTGAGCGCATTGTTAATGGGTTTACTTAACTGAGGTATTAATAAGTAGGTAAGTGTATCATTTGAAATCAATACTAACTTAATTTCTGCCTTACACGATTACTATTTTATCATGTGTTAGTGTTCTATGGCCCAAAGTTTACAGAATTACATGTGATTATTCAACAACTCCTGTGATTGCTGCCATTACACTTCGTTCCTGACATAAAAGCAAATTAGTCTTTCTGTTGTCATCTTAGTATCAAGCCAGACTTGCATCCACTCAATATAACTTGTCAGGGGACAGGCTCCTGCAGTATTCTACTGCCAACAGTGCAGGTACATTTACTAAGATACTGAACACTTTACCCATAATTGATATTGTCCTGTTGAATAAATTGTTACAAGTGAATGGAAAGTTGTTGTAATGAAAATTATAGAATACCACCACTTTACAATCAAACCACAAGGTGGCAATTCAAAACTGACTGCAGGTCTGGATTTTGATGAACACAGCTACCCAGCTTTCTAGCAGACCATAGTGGCTCAGTGCACTATCACGGTTTCCAGCCCAACCGGTTCCCAGGGCCCACACAGCCTGAAGGAGCAGATGTGGACAAATACTTAACCTCTGTGTGTCTGTTCTCTTCATCTTTTAGTTACGTGCCAGCCTCATAGATCTGTGAAGCGTGAAGACGTTCTCATGTGAGCGCCTTCGCAGGAGAGATTTTACATTATAAAGGCTCTTTAAAAGTTCTACATTCAGCCCTCAGAAAGCTGTTATGAAAAAATAAACATTAAGTAGGTGTTTCCAAGGGGGAACGAATGGAAAGGGGAACATACTGGATTTCAGCTGACGTGATATATGTGGCCCATGCCTCATGTTCCCATGCAGGGCATTCTAGCTCAGAAGGCAACTAACAGTGACTGGGAAGAGAGAAAATGGCCAACAGGGAACTGGCGGTAGGACTGGTCTTCTTAACACAGACTACGGTTGGCATCCTGGGCAATTTCTCACTTCTTTGTCATTATGTCCTCCTCTCCTTCACCGACTACAGGTTGAAGTCCACAGATTTCATTCACAAGCACCTGACTGTGGGCAACTTCTTATCCCTGCTCTGTAGAGGAGTCCCCCAGACCATGGCAGCATTTGGGTGGAAACATATCCTCAGTCACTTTGGATGCAAACTCCTTTTCTTTCTTCACAGGGTGGGGAGGGGAGTATCCATTGGTAGCATCTGCATCGTGAGTGTCTACCAGGCCATCACAATCAGCCCCAGAAACTCCTGGTGGGCAGAGCTTAAAGTAAAAGCTCCCAAGTACGTTGTTCCCTCCATCATCCTGTGTTGGATGCTGCAAATGCTGGTCAATGTCATTTTCCCTCTCTATTTAACTAGCACATCGAGTGAGAAAAACATCACAAACAAAAAGGATTTCGGATACTGTTCTTCGGTTCGTCATGACAAAACCAGCGCCTCATTGTATGCAGCACTGTTGTCATTCCCTGATGTGCTGTGTTTGGGGCTCATGCTCTGGGCCAGCAGCACCATGGTTCTCATCCTGTACAGGCACAAGAAGCGGGTCCAACATATACGAAGAACCATTTCTTCCAGGTCCTCCCCTGAGTCCAGAGCCACCAAAACCATCCTTCTTCTGCTGAGCACCTTTGTCTATTTTTACACCCTCTCCTCTGTCTTTCAAGTTGTTTTGTCTCTTTCTGATAATCCCAGTGGGGTCCTCCTGAACATCACTGCAATCATGGTGATGTGTTTCCCAACTGTCAGCCCCTATCTGCTCATGAGCCGTGACCCCAAGGTACCTAGGCTCTGCTTTGCCTGGGCAGGGAATATAAAATCCCCTCATCTTATGAGAAATATGTAAATTGTATGTATTTCTACAACGTACAGTTGCCAATTCATTCATCCCCCTCAGGGTCCTAAATAAAATTATGAGTCCAAGACAACAGTAAACAGGACATGCTGAGCATCTTATTCAAAATAAACAATAAATCATAACAATATTGTAATGAAACACCATTATCTTATAAATACTTATATAATTGAAGTTTTCCTAATACTGCCAGTAAAGGAGTTCAGAATTTATGCAATAAAAAACACCAGGTCTTGACACAATCTGGATATTACAGAGAAGTCTTCAAGTGTGTGGCTTTCAATCTAATGCAGTAAATTTCCAAGAAATGAACCTGGCATGAAATTTCAGGAAAAGGTACATGAACATGGGTTGGAGCGTGGCCTTGTCCTTCCTCCAACTAAAGAAAATAATTTCCCCACTACATAAAGAATAGCCTGAGTGGGCCTGGAGGAAACATCCATTCTCGGGCAGTAGTGTTTCTGGGAGCCAGTTACAAGTTTTGCAGGTAAGTCATATCCTTAGAGAGATGGCACTGATTTGTTTGAAATATGAGGTGATGAAGGGAGATGAGCATGTTTACCATATTCTCATGGAGAAATGGCCAGATTAAAGAGGAGCAGGGCAAAGGAAAGCACAAAAACAAAAATATGTTTCTGCTGGTATTTAAAGATAATCAAGTGAGTGCTGACAATGTAAACAGACATGTGTTGAGATCTGGAGAAAGCAGAGTTTTCTCTGTTATGTTAAGGAGACTTGGGCATATTGGCAGGAAGGGGGTTTGGAGACCCGGGCTCGAGTCTCCTTCAGGCACACACAGTCCTTTGGGTCATTTACATGGAGCTTGAGCTGGGAATTAGAATCCCAAGCTCATCCTTTTCTTTCACCTTCGTTTAGCCACATTAAGAGCAACCAGCCAGGGCGCCTGGGTGGCTCAGTTGGTTAAGCGACTGCCTTCGGCTCAGGTCATGATCCTGGAATCCCAGGATCGAGTCCCACATCGGGCTCCCTGCTCAGTGGGGAGTCTGCTTCTCCCTCTGACCCTCCTCCCTCTCATGCTATCATTCTCTCTCTCTCAATAAATAAATAAAAATCTTAAAAAAATAAATAAAATTGAGCTATAAAAAAAAAAAAAAAGAGAAACCAGCCAATGTTATCATGTTTATAAGTTATCTAAAATTGTGGGCAAGTACCAAACACATGCCATCCAGATACTTCTTTTATTTTTTTTAAAGATTTTACTTATTTATGTATTTATTTGAGAGAGAGAAGGTGCAAATGAGTGGGCGGGGGTGTGGAGGAGTAGAGGGGTAGGGGGAGGAGGGGGTAAGAATCTGAAGCCAACTCCATGCAGAGCATGACCAGAGCCAAGAGCCGGACGCTTGACTGACCGAGCCACTCAGGCGCCCTTGATACTTACTTCTTTTAAATGGCTGATAAGGAGTGTCAAGGACAGATAATCTGTGATGTGCTTTCTTTTACAATTTTTTTTTAAGATTTTACTCATTTAAGAGAGAGAGAGAGTGCAAGAGAGCACAAGCAGGCGGAGTGGCAGAGAGAGAGGGAGAAACAGGCTCTTCACTGAGCAGAGAGCCCGACGTGGGGCTCGATCCTAGGACCCTGGGATTATGACCTGAGCCGAAGGCAAATGCCTAACTGACTGAGCCACCCAGGAGCCCTCTTTTACAATTTTTAATTTTTTTTTTTTTAGATTTTATTTATTCAAGAGAGAGGGGAGAGAGCATGAGAGAGAGAGCAAGCGTGAATGGGCTGGGGGAGGAGCAGCGGGAGAAGCAGACTCCTCCCTGAGCAGGGAGCCTGACATGGGGCTCTACCCTAGGACCCTGGGATCATGACCTGAGCCAAAGGCAGATGCTTAACCAACTGAGCCACCCAGGCGCTCTTCTTTTGCATTTTTTAAATCTAATCAGATTAGAAAGCCACTTCTAGAAACCCAAGAACCAACTCAGAAAACTCATCCTTAAATCTGGTTTCTCTTGACCCACTCTTGGTCACAGTGGAATGATTAATTGTTTGATGTTCCTAAAATGGAATTCTATACAGCAATGCCAGTGGATGAGTCACAACAACATACAACCATAAATTCTCAAACAACTTAAATGAAAAAAGTCAAATACAAAAGAGTTAATGCTCTATTATTTTCTTTACATTAAATACCAAATAGACAATAATAATGTGTGCTGGCAGAGGTCACCACTGTGTTTACCCTATGAGGGGTGACAGACAGGGACAGCAATAGGAGCTTCCAGGGGTCTGATGATATTCTGTGCATTGATATAAGTGCTGTGTACAGATATGTGATCAGTATGCACAGTTTCATTATCTGTGCACTGTATCTATATTTTTTAATTTAGAAAATACATATCACCAATAAAAACCATGGGATAGAGTACATTTATGTATAATGTCCTTACATTGTGAAGGAGGAGTTTAAACCTACTGAAGAAAAAGACTCTTAGTTTTTCAAATCATACAGAAATTTCTAGGTTGAAAACTTCTAAAGAAAAGAGGTCAAATGTATACTTGTTTTTAAAAGTTTCTTCCAGGGGCGCCTGGGTGGCTCAGTTGGTTGGGCGACTGCCTTCAGCTCGGGTCGTGATCCCAGAGTCCTGGGATCGAGTCCCACATCGGGCTCCCGGCTTATTGGGAAGCCTGCTTCTCCCTCTGACCCTCTCCCTGTCATGCTGTTTCTCTCTCTCTCTCTCTCAAATAAATAAAATCTTTTTAAGAAAATAAATAAATAAATAAAAGTTTCTTCCGGACATACAGGAATTGAAGTAGAAAGTAAGAATAAAGTCAACAATAAGCACTACTAGGTATTTATCGAAAGGATACAAACATAATGATATACCCCAATTTTTATAGCAGCAATGTTCATAATAGCCAAAATATGCAAAGACCCCAGATGTCCACTGACAAATGAATGGATAAGGAAGATGTGGTGCACAATGGAATATTACTCATCCATCAAAAGGAATGAAATCTTGCCATTTGCAATGACATGGATGGAACTAGAGGGTATTAAGCTAAGTGAAATAAGTCAATCGGAGAAAGACAAATATCATATGATTTCACTCATATGTGGAATTTAAGAAAAACAGATGAACACAGAGGAAGGGAAGGGAAAATAAAGTAAGATGAAAACAGAGAGGGAGGCAAACCATAAGAGACTCTTAACTATAGGAAACAAACTGAGGGCTGCTGAAGGTAGGTGGGGGGGATGGGGTAACTCGGTGAAGGGCATTAAGGAGGGCACTTGATGTAATGAGCACTGGGTGTTATATGTAACTGAGAAATCACTAAATCCTACCCTTAAATTAATTTAAAAAATTGTTAAGAAGGTAGATCTCCTGTGTTCTTATCACTATAAAATAAAATAAAATAAATAAAACATGTGGTCCTGACACCTCTTGTCTGAAGCTCCTAATTATAAAGTTATCTCTTCCTTAAAGGCTGCTTCTCTAACTTCAAGAGAGAAAGTAGCCTGTCCAGCATCATCAAGTCACAGATGTTTTCATTAGAGACACAATTACTGTTTTCATGAAGTGCATCCTATGCCCAGACTTAGAAGAAAAACATTTGTTGTATTCCAGAAACAACTGCAGATAGGTGGTTCCTGCACAGGATGAAAATAATTCTTACAGTTTCATCATACTCTGTATTATAAGCACTGTAAGCACACTTCTAATAACACTGAAAATTTAACATGATTCCTGTAAGGAAATGTGAGCAGTGTATTTATTTCATAACTATAATATTTAAGCACCTTAAAAGTCAGATTTCATTATCACTGGGATTATTTACCAATAAACTGTCTTCAGTGACAATCACACTAAGTTACATTAGGAGCCATCAGGGATTGGCATAGGATTTAGGACCCTCGTCCTCTTTACTAGCTCAGCTCTTCACTAAGGAATTATTCCACCTCTCTGTCTGGCTTTGCCACTATATCTACTTCTCCTCCAGACATGAACACTTACTCAGACTTCCTTCCTTGCAGATTCTGCCTCTCAGACTGAAATTAAAAATACTCACTGGAGGGGCACCTGGGTGGTTCAGTCAATTAAGCATCTGCCTTCAGCTCAGATCATGATCCTGGGCCTCTCTGCTGCTCAGTGGGGAGCCTGCTTCTCCCTCTCCCTCTGCCTGATGCTCTGCCCGCTTGTGCTCGATCTCTCTCTCTCTCTCTGTCAAATAAATAAATAAAACTTAAAAAAAAAGAAAAAGAAAATAAATAAAAATACCGGAATCCTTCCCACTGTCAGGACGGTTGGTTCGGTGTGAAGGTCTGGACAGCCAGTACATGTCTTGCGGGGGGGGGGGGGCAGCTACACTCAGAGAAAGGTTTGTGAATCTGTGATCTCACCTCCTCTCGGAAACTGCAATCATCATTTCTCCTGTAGGTGTAATGACAGCGCAGGCTTGGGGACCTGGGAACATTTCTGAAAACCTTTTTCCCAGTTGCTAATTACTAAAAACAATTGCAAGTTTCCTCTGAGTATCTCCAAGAGATCACCATAGTGTTTGGGAGAGGCTCTTATTTTTTCGTGAACCCTAAAGGCAGACAGGGTCACATACAGAAAAAGAAGGAAGGACAGTCCACAGGAAAAAGCATGAAGTTGGATGCTTACCTAATACCATATACAAAAATTAACTCAAAATGGATCAAAGGCCTAAGTGTAAGACCTAAAACAATAAAATTCTTAGAAGAAAACATGGATCAAAATCTTCATGACATCAGATTTGACAATGACTTCTTGGGTGTGACACCAAAAGTGACAAAAGGAAATATAGAAAATATAGAAAAACTGGACTACATGAAAATTTAACACTTTTGTGATCAAAAGTCACCATCAATGAAGTGAAAAAGCCCAACAAAATGGGATACAGTATTTGTAGTTCATGTATCTGTTAAGGGGTTGTATACAGAATATATGGAGAAATCCTAAGACTCAAAAGTAAAAAGAAAAAAAAAAAGTTCAGTAATTGGC